CTACAGTGAGTGCATGTAGTAATGTGTAACTACAATCCCTTCAAATAAGGTTACGTTCATTATAAGCAAAAACTTTAATTTATTTAATCTTATTATATATAAAGTACGTTTTATTATTTAATTTTCCTGTATATTACTGTTATGAGGAAATCACGGATTAACATCCTGGTTTAACAAAAATATGTTCTAAGAACGTTGTTATAGTGTTCCCAGTTATGAAAACATTTTTTTTTAAATGTAACATTTTAATGCAACATTCCATTTTATCATTCTTCAAACATTATGGGAACTTTTGAATGTTCCCTGAACGTTTAGTAACATTAAAAACATTAAAAAAAATATATATATTTTTTTTTAATTTACATTTTTGGGGCGAGATATGAACTAGATATTGAATCTGGACGCCACTGTTTCAGATTGATTGACACACGACAGTAACAGCAGCTCGTATTCAGTCAAACTTTGTTTTTTCATTTGAAGATATTTTCATCTGTTTTGAAGAATGCGCGGCAGTAAATTTGATCCATGACATAATGACATAAACGATGATTGTATATTAATGTTAGCCTATATTTTATTATAGGTATTCCTCCACATTACAACGATATAGTATTTAGACATTTTATTATATGTTAAAATTGCCAAAAAATATAATTACTCACCAGACAAACTGTTAATTTATTTCATAGGTTGGGTTGAAGTTCAGAGTGATTTTGATGTTTTGTAACGCTTCTGTTTGCCTGTCGCTCTGTTATGACGCACTTAAGCATCAGTGACATTTTCCTGCGCAAGCGCGACACTTAGTGGAGAGAGGCGGCAATTACAACATTTTGCAAAGTTTGGACAGTCGCACACTGAATTTAATTTCCCCTTATTCATCAAAACCAGTAAAGCAACAGGTTTCTGCCTAAATACTTTAAATTCATTTTGTAGACAAACATAGGCTATTATAGGCCTACCTATACAACTCTTGTTTTTATTTTTGAAAACAAAAAGTGTTTAGTTTTTCATGTAGAAGTTGTAGCGGACATTGAAGGAAAGCGAGGTTGAGCACACAGATCTGAACTCGTTATTTTTCACTTTCTTCTAACATTTGCCAAATAAACTACAGAGTCCTGACAGAAGAGATCGACTCTGTTTTTCTTGACTTGGCTTGCACTGCCTTAGCCCACCACTACTGTCTGCGAAATATTATTATAATATTATTAATTTAACTATTGTCGTGCATTTCTTAATCAATATGATTCTAAACTCATAAAGTATACTACAAAAAACAGATAAATCCAGAATATGAACACAAAGCATTTCATTTGACGTTAAGCATTTTCCTCCCATAGAAACACATTATATACAGTGTTTCCCAACCCTGTTCCTGGCGGCACACCAACACTGCGTGTATTCTTTGTCTCCCTTATCAAACACACCTGATTCAACCCATCAGCTCATAATCAGATTCAGGTGGGTTAATGAGCTGATGGGTTGAATCGGGTGTGTTTGATAAGGGAGACAAAGAATACACGCAGTGTTGGTGTGCCGCCAGGAACAGGGTTGGGAAACACTGCATTATAAGAACTCTAAATGTAGCTTAATGCATATTAGAATGTGCCCCTTATTATGTCGAAATAACGAGATATTTATGTTGAAATAACGACTTGTCAAAATAACGAGATGTCGAAATAACGTGATATGTCATGATAATGACTCATTAAGTCGAAAGAACGAGATATTATGTTGTAATAACGAGATATGTCATAACAAGATGTTATATGTATAGCGGAGGATCTTTCCGAATTTTAGAGAAGACACGCCCTCTCCAATTTAAAAAAAAAAAAAAAAAAATGCACATATGCACAAACACACACTCCCGAGAGGGAACGCCTACTATTACGCCTTGCACAATTATGTTGCAAATTGTAAACTAACTCAAAAATATTCATAAAAAAGACAACATGTCAAATGCCCTTCCGTGTTTTATTTACTTATTATACTGATCGATTGAGTGACCGAGGACTCGAGACATGATATGTCCAACCCTGTATCACACGAAATACGATCTGAGGAAACTATTTTGCAAATCACAATTACGTATAGCAACATATAAGCAGTGCTATTACGTTGGTCCTTAACCTAATATGTCTCATTGTTAATAGGTATTAATAAGTTATTTTTATACATAGTTGCATGTGTAATGGAGAAGTAGCTTGTTGCATTTGTGTAATAATAAACACACAAGGTTTTAGAATATGAACACATGAACACACAAAGTTTTAGAATATTTCAGCGTGATACCATTTACCACGACATAATACACCTGAAAGTGAAAACTACATAGGGACGAGCACGTACGACGCCCTTACATAAACATATCACCAGAATGATTGACACTTAGATCGACCAATAGTATAGACTACCCACCCGGAAAAAGAAAATCCTCTGCTATACCTTTAATTACAAGATATTATGTCGAAATTACAACTTAAAGGGGTGATGAACTGAGAAATCAAATTCTCCTTGAGCTTTTGACATCTAAGAGGTCATCATAAGAATATCCTGTAAGTTTCAGAACTGAAAACGTCCTTGTTAGTCCAATAAAAGCTTTTATTGACACCAGGCTCAGCAAACAACTACTTTTTCAAAGTGGGGAACTATGACATCAAAGAGGATAAAAGACACCACCCCCGCAGAAGAAGATCAACGCCTACTTCAACAC